GGGGGGGGGGGGGGGGGGTCAAATGTAGTCTGGGGTGGTTGATCTTATCAGTAGAGATTGAAGGAGCGACTTGTAAAAAGATTGGCAACTCGCTTGCGTCTGTTTCATCGGAGGATGGCGAGACGCAGCAGCAGTCTTCCTTTGACTACATGAATCGGTGTAGCATGTTGTTTTTCGACGAACACCACACGACAGCGCTCAGTCCCCGCGCATGTAAATGTTCCGCTAGATGGAAGGACGCATGAACAGAGATGCTGTGAGCTAATAAGAACGAAGTAAAGTTGCCGACTCGACCCCCACCCCCCCCCAAAAAAAGCAAATGGATGCTCTCGATTTCTCCCTTTTAATGAGTACTTTGGTTCGGTGTGGCTCGGTATTCGACATCGTGGGACTCGGGGACCCCAACCGAGCCGACGCTTCTTGAAGCGTGCGGACAATTTTTTGGGCTTGTGCGGTTGTGTGGGGGCGGAGGAGTGGAGGGTAGGGGGGGCTATCCTACGAGCGTCTCAGCGGGATTTCTCTCGTCAGAATCTCCACCGGCACAAAAAGAGGAACTCGAGGAGTGCATACGATAGTTATCTCACATTTACTCGGTCTTGGGTAGAAGAAGTGCCGGTGGGAATGGATTGCTTTGTATTGTTGTCTTATCTTCCAGAGGGTGGTTTTGTCGATGAAGTTTCAGTTTTTTTTTTTTTTCTATCTTTTTGCGAGAAAACCGTAAAGGTCAATCGGGACTGCTTTTGACTACAGCAGTCTACCGCGACGAAGTATTTGTTCTACATATATATATGTTGTGTTGATTTTTTATCCTTTCTTTTCGTTTTTGGGGCGTTCGCTGCTTAAGGCGGGCGCACCCTGTTTTTTTTTTTTTGTCTTCCACCAGCAGCAACACGGCGGGGGGGCGGGCGGCGCCTACTGGGTAGGGCGGGAAAAAACTGTGAATGAAATAATCTTACGCCGCGTTCGTTCGACGTTGGCTGGTCCGGTCGATGCCGAGCAAGAAAGGACACAACAAGGGCGGGTATTGGCAAGAACATGGGAGAACAAACAGAGTTTCTATGTGGCTGTTAATTCGAGTGCTTGTCGCGCAAGGATTTTGGCCAGCTCTCAGAAGGGGGAGNTTTTTTTTTTTTTGTCTCCCACCAGCAGCAACACGGCGGGGGGGCGGGCGGCGCCTACTGGGTAGGGCGGGAAAAAACTGTGAATGAAATAATCTTACGCCGCGTTCGTTCGACGTTGGCTGGTCCGGTCGATGCCGAGCAAGAAAGGACACAACAAGGGCGGGTATTGGCAAGAACATGGGAGAACAAACAGAGTTTCTATGTGGCTGTTAATTCGAGTGCTTGTCGCGCAAGGATTTTGGCCAGCTCTCAGAAGGGGGAGCTTTATCGCTAGACTCAGGCGGCCTTGACTCGACATCGCACGGCAGCCCGGGGCTTGAGACGGAGAAAAAAAGAAAAAAAAAGAGCAAGTCTAGGTCTCACCACGAAAAATGGGGGGACTGTCGCTGCAATAAATAGGACGAAAACAAACAACAGCAAATAACCACCAGCGCCCTTGCCTGTGCACAAGGCGGAGTGGTTCTGTGCGCACGAATTGTGCGACAGGGCCACATCGATCGATAACAAAACGTGCTACTGTATGTACCTTAGCTGAGAATCTGGTCTGTACTTGCATCTCATCGTGCAGGTCAACACCACACCACACGAAGACAGCTGGTAACAACGCCACTGCTTGGGCCAGTTTCATATGGTCTTGTTTCTTTCACATCGAACGTCTCTGGCACATAATTGTAGCCTGTCAAGTCCATGTTCTCCATACATATCCACAATCCACAAGAAATTATCCGAACACAAACGTTCGCGACCTAGGTTTGATACGTGCACCACCGCCCGTTCGGGAACGGTCTCTCAACCGTCGGAGAAAAAAAAAAATTAAACTCGGATGCAACGGGTCCCCCGGCCGTCGGGTCAAAACATCGCGGAAGAACGTAAACCTCGATAAAAAAGCCAACTCGGATACAAGGGGAAACCCGACCCCTGGGACAAAACCCCTTGCGAAATCGTTTACGTAATTCTTTCGAGGATGAAGAGAAGGCAAAAATGAACCTCAAGGGTAATACACGGAAGTCTAGCTATGCACTCCACCACGCAAGTCAACTAGAGACGAGATAATAGTACGCGAAAACGGTGTCCCTCAGTATTTGAGGCCAACACCCATAAACAACTGTCACATGCAAGGGCGCAAGCAAACACTCAAGACTACAAGCAAGGACAATGAACACAAGGGTGAACTACTTCTAGTCTATGGAAGTTGTGCCCTTACTATGCTTCAAGACTATGTTTCTAGTCTATGGAATTTGTACCATTGAGAAAGCTTGTTTTTGAATAGTTCCGTGTAAACTGCCCCACGGAAAGGCAAATAAATACGGACAAGAGATGCTGCTCCTCTCCCCCATCGACAAACCACGTACACCTCGAACGAGCGAAGGCGACGTCCATGAAAGGCAACAACACCTCGCACGCAGCAACCAAAACACAAAAAACAAAAAAAAAAAGGGAGAAAGAGGTGGTCGTTCCCGTCTGTGAGCACAGAAACGACAACTTTTGCATTCCCCCAACGCAAGAAGAGCCCCGCTCTTGGTGCGGCGCTCGCACCCACCATTTCAACTCAGAGGTACACACTCACTAGCACCACACGCTACCACACTTACTTCTTGTAGCGACATGGTATGTCAAACACAACTAACCAAAACCACACGTGTAGCAAACGCTGGCCCACGATAACCCGAAGCAGTGATTAAACTCCAGCCAAACAACGATGTCGTCACCAGTCCTCCTGTGCTGAGGGACTCCTGACACACTAATTGAGTGAATGCAGGAGATGAAACACGGCAACATCAAAATGGCTGGAAAAGAGTTCAACTGTGGGGAACGCTGCGTTCTGTCACCGTGGAACCCGGGCGGAGCACACATTCTTGACGGTTGCCGTCGTATCAGGTTCCGGCAGGGGCGATCAAGCACGCTTCACAGTCAGCCCTGTGCAAGACTCAGTCCACTGCGTTGCTTGATTGCCGTCGCTGGTTTCGGCCCAAACAGGGAACGCGCCAGCGGGTTTACCATCCTCCACCCCCCACCTCCAGCACTCATCGTCGGCCCAATTTCGACGCTCCACCCACCTCACTGGAACGATCATGGCCAAGTTTACAAGCAAAATAACATAGAGGGCAGCCTTCTCGACCTCGATGAACACGAAGACGGCGAACAAGATCCAGATAACCCTGACCACGGCCGTGTTCTTCGTGATAAAGCGCTTGATGCACAGAGGGGTTGCCCGATACGCCCACAGATACTCAACACGCTGAGAAAAAAACGCGTTGAACACACAAAACACGAGGGCAGATTCGTTCGCCGGGGGTTCCCCGCCCACCCCGTCCCATTTCATCCAACCTAGACAGCTCCAAGATCCCCACAGCGCCGCAAACAGGAGTAGCCAGGCCTCTTCTAAGGTGACCGGTGGCGGGCCGGAAGACCTGCAATAGCCAGTCCCTGCCTGTTGCCGCTTTCTACACCTCGCATGGCGAAAAGGCTGGACACAGAGAAGTGAAAGCTTCGGTAAGCCGTGCTCATCGAGACAATCTTCTTCCTGCTCGTAGAACACAGGAAGGGTGCCCTCATTTCCGTAAACAGGATTTGTCGAGTTGGTCCCCGCCGTGGTGTCCAGCCCAACCTGAACAAGCTTCCGCTTCACGCCGGCATGATTGAAGGCGTAGTCGATCGACTCGATCGACTCTCCACCGTACACCGGTTCGATAACATTGTTCGTTATCGTCAATCCAATGGGAGGCTCGACCCCAACCCAGTTTCTGTGGAACATGCCATAACCGTTTTCCATTCTCACGTCCCCGAGTACTTCCAACTTAGCTTTGTCCTCTCGCACCAAGGACGCCACCAGGGGGAGAAATTCTTCCTGCCTTGCGGGACACAAATACCGCCAACCAGCAAGCAATCCCTCGTCACTGATGCCCAGCACTCTCTGGCCGATGCCCCGGTGCCGCACGGCCTTGAGTAACTGCTCCCACTCGTCGTCACTCTCGTTCACTCTACCAGCATAGTGGTCGCCAGGGAAACTGAGGGCGATATTGCCGTACAGAAGACTCACCCAATACACGGGGAAAATAACAACCGTAACGGCGAACAGTCCCGCCTCCGCACCGATCAGGGTTGCCACCGCGCACGCACCCATCACGTAAAAAAGCGACGTCCCGAGACAATAGCAAGCCGTCCGAACATCTGCGGCGGTAGTGAACGCCACAAGGCTGTGCGGTACGAACAGATTCGCCATGATGACTCCGACTGAAAAAGCTATCGTTGCCACCGCCAGAGGAACATCGCCACAACTCGTAACCAAGGCCTTGCAGATGACAGGAGTTCTTGGTGAATCGACAATATCGGCAGCTGCGCTTGGCAAGACGATATACCAAGCGACCCCGTAAACCCATATGGCGGCGGTGACGCCCCACAACAGCGACAATACCTTGACTCCCCACCGTCTGGCGCACGAATCCACCACAAGGGCGCCGACTCTGGCGACGTCGCTCTCGCTCCAGATGAGCATTTGCCGAGCAAGGTAGCTCGTTGCTCCGAGGCGCATCACGGCCTTACCATCACACACCTCCCGTTGATCCTCTCCGGGGCCGAAACGAAACGCCGTGCCCTGCTTCGGCACCGAGAGAAGCCCGCATGTCTTGGCGGACACCACCAAGACTATGAATGCACTCAAATATCGCAGCAATGGCGATGATGCTCGAGCGGAAACCTCCTCATAGACATTTTCCGCGGACATGAACCACTCCGGGTTTTGCTGAAAGAGTACGACCTGACATGCGGGACGACGACGGCGGAAACATTTTAAGCATATTGTGAAGGATCTCCAGTTGAATGTCAGACGCAGCTTCGGATGACTGCGTGTGTGTGTGGTGCTGGTGGGGGGAAAAGCACAGCGGATGCATCCATCCCGGCTTTCTATGCTTATGTAGAAAACAGAGAATACCAGACTATCTTCGCCGATCGTTTGCGCGCACACTGACGGGAGGATCAAAATCAAACGATTTGTGATCTATAAGACCGTGTAACGGAATCATTTAAAGTGTTCACGATTGGCAGGAAACTACTACTCGCGGTCAAACACTTCCGGGAAGGCAAGAAAAGGCTTAGACCCGAAGAAAAGGGGGGAGGGGGGAGTCGGATTCCTGGTCAAGGAACACTTGTTTGACGTGGTGGAAGTAGTGGTGAAAACGGAGTTCGAGGAAAGCCTATGGCTTAAGATACCTGGGGAGCGGGGTGAGAAAGACTTGTTTCTAGGGAACGTATACGTCCCACCGTCGTCGAAGAAAGTCGCAAGCAAGGCGCAGGAGAACTTTGGACACATTGGGGAAGGCGTCCGGAGGTTCAGTAGGGAGGGAGAAGTTGTCATGGTGGGCGATTTCAACTCCAGAGTANCAAGCAAGGCGCAGGAGAACTTTGGACAAATTGGGGAAGATGTCCAGAGGTTCAGTAGGAAGGGAGAAGTTGTCATGGTGGGCGATTTCAACTCCAGAGTAGGGAAAGCTTCCAGTAGAGGACAGGCGATCGGGCAGCACGGAGAAGACAAAGTGAATGACAACGGAGTGAGGATGCTTGAATTCTTGGGAAGCAACGAACTGATGGTGTTGAACGGTAGGAGGGAATGCGATAAGTCGGCGTTCACCACGC